TGCTCTTCCTTGTTGATTTTTCGCTAAACATTCTAGAATTTCATTAAAAAAATTGTAATTAGTAATGCAAAACTTTTAAATAAAATTACTTATGTAATAATACATATATATATATATATATGCAGTCTTGCATTTTTATTAGTCATGTTTTTTCCATTTGTGGGGGTTAAAGAATCTGTTCAATGTTGATTGCTTTTCTCTTTTCTTCAGGATTTTTCGGAAGTAATTAATAGAATTGTAATTGTAGAGATCCCCAACCCCATTAACCTTACTCTGGTTTGGATGCCACTTGGACGATCATTGTTCTGACATCCTCCCACTTCTTCAAAAGATCTTTATTAGCAGATGTCAACATTGGTCCTCTTTCATCTTCCTCTTTTTCAAAAGAAAACACATCTCACTGAGTTTCTTGGTATTCTTCATTTGAGAGTTCTTGGAGTTCTTTTGTTGTCAGATCAGTTTCAGGTTCCATTGTGAGCTCTAAAATGCTGTTTATTTCTCAGCTGTGGTTTTTATTACTACATTAGCCACTTGAAACTTCTTGATATTTCTTTCATAGCTAAAATTGTGCTTACTGTAGACCTGTTCAAGCCATACTGCCTAGCAACATCAGACATCTTGTTCCCACTTTCTACTTTGGCTATTATATCTCTTACTTGGTTTCTACAGTGAGCACAGTTCTTTACACTCCTCTTTTTAGGTTCCATAATATTATCACTTTCTTTTTTAAATAAAAAGCACTTACAAAAATTCAGAGAACAGAAATCAACTAACTCATAAAAAATTATTTAAATGCAAGGCCTGGATAAAATTTGAAATTTGGTATTAAAACGTTAACAAATATCCGATGGAACGGTTAAACTTTCACCTTTCGTAAATAAACCCTGACGCAAAACTTAACAATTGCCCGTCCGACAGTCTCATGAAGACTATAAAAAATTATCTATCAGAAAGGTAAACAAAAAGCTGGAATTACAAGGAAGAGTTTCAAAATTCGGAGGAATACTATCTGATCAGTATCGGGTTGAGCGTCAATGTTCACATCTCCCGCGTTCCAAAAGGTTTTGAATTGTTACCTGAAGACAACAGAAAATCAATTGGTATTCTTTATTTTCTGTCGCTTCTTTTTATGTTTGTTCAGTAAAGTGTTCATTATATGAACATGTGTTCGTTGTCCGATCATAAAAATCTTTCGTGAAAGTGTTTGTTATCTGATTTGTTTGCTATTTGAACTGTTCATTAACTGATCACCCACTGTATTAATATAAAATTTAAAACTAACCTGATAATCTGATTCTGTGCATATACGACAAGCAAGTACAGTTTGCCATAAAAAGTGAAAATTGCAACCATCACAGGTTCCATCTGGGCAGTTTGCTGGTAGTGAGAGATGACCACTGTCTTCTGCATTTTTATCACAGCGAAGTGTAAGTGTAGTTGTACGGCCTGAAGAACAAGCTGGAGTTGTGCTACAAAACATTTATAAAAAATATATATAAAATTAAAAAATTTATCTGTGACAAATAAACAACAAAATTAAATAAGAATCAATTAGAAAGAATAACCACTATATAACTTTCACATTACAGGTTTTTTTATAGTACAATTAAAATAATCTCCAAATCTATTTTCTCTTTCATAAATTTAGATCAATCATTACAAACATATATTAAATGTTTATGAAAAACATATGTATACTGTATATACCAGATTGTTCAATAAGTTTAGTCGTTCGATAAGAAAAACACAATTTTATGGTTTGAAATACATTTTATTATTCAATATAATCTCCCTGAACTTCAATACACTTGTTCCAGTGATCTTCTAATTTATGGATTGTATCCCTGAAGTGAGAATCCCAAAGACTGTCGAATTACTCTTCCACGGCTGCTATTACCTCTTTGTTAGATGGAAATCATTTCCCACGCATGAATTTTTTGAAATTTGAGAACAGCCAGAAGTCAGAGGGAGCTAAATTTGGCAAATAGGGTGGATGTTGCAACAATCTTTACTGTACTTTAATTCACTGATTTTTGAAATGGTTTTTTGAGCTGTGTGAGAGGGTGCATTGTCTTGATAAAAAATGATTTTTTTTCGTCTGAAAACCAGATCTTTTCTCACAAATTTTTACATCTAACTGGTCCAAAAGGTTACAATAATAATCTGAGTTTATTGTTTTACCAGTTTGGAGGTAATGCACGAACAAAATTCCTTTTGCATTCCAAAACACTGATGCTAACATCTTCTTGGCCAATTTTTGCATCCTAACTCACTTCAGAGCCAAAGTACCACTCCTTAGCCTCTTGTTCAGGTTCATGGTGGTAGACCCAAGTCTCATTCAGTGATGAAACGACGCACAAAATCTTTTTTATCCTTTCTAAAATGCTCCAAATGTTGCTGAGAAAGTTGCATTCGAATGTGTTTTTGTTCCATTGTTAGCAAATGCAGCACACATTGTGCACACAGCTTTCCGTAACCCAAAACTTCAGCCAAAATATTGCTCACACTGCCTAATGAGATGTGGGTGTGGTCACTCTTAGCTTCATTTCTCCCCATAGACCTTACTGGCATGGGTGTCCCTACCAGGAGCTTGTGCTCCAGCCTGCATTGCTCTATTGTTCAGTAAAATTACTGGGCTCTCTCACCACAACCAGGTGGTGACCACGGGAGAGTTATTATTATTACTACATATTTATGGTTACTGTAACAGTTACTATAGTTTTCTGCATACTAGTAAATTTTGCATTTTCTGTTTCACATTTTAGACATTCCTTAAGTTTATAGTATGGTTAAACCAAAGGCAAGATTAGGAGCTAAATGCTCTTAATCTTGTATCAAATATATATGATAGATATTTTTTATGCAGTCTCAACATCAATATTATCATTTAAAGCTAATTCACAACCACAGTGCACTTATAGTAAATTATATCACATGCAAGCACACAGTGCATACTGCATATGTCCAATGATTAAGAGTGAACAATAATTGAAATTAATAAATAATTATATGGATATTAGATTTGTGTTGTTCTTATTTTCCATTTATGTCTTTTAGAATAGCTTATTAATACTAGGATTTATCAGCTTGGCCAAAACGAAACTGATATTTGTGCACTAGGGAAAAAAAACCTTAAAATAAGACCTGAGATCATTATCATAAAAAGTAATATTTTATATATATATATATATGCAGTCTTGCATTTTTATTAGTCATGTTTTTTCCATTTGTGGGGTTAAACAATCTGTCCAATGTTGATTGCTTTTCTCTTTTCTTCAGGATTTTTCGGAAGTAATTAATAGAATTGTAATTGTAGAGATCCCCAACCCCATTAACCTTACTCTGGTTTGGATGCCACTTGGACGATCATTGTTCTGACATCCTCCCACTTCTTCAAAAGATCTTTATTAGCAGATGTCGACATTGGTCCTCTTTCATCTTCCTCTTTTTCAAAAGAAAACACATCTCACTGAGTTTCTTGGTATTCTTCATTTGAGAGTTCTTGGAGTTCTTTTGTTGTCAGATCAGTTTCAGGTTCCATTGTGAGCTCTAAAATGCTGTTTATTTCTCAGCTGTGGTTTTTATTACTACATTAGCCACTTGAAACTTCTTGATATTTCTTTCATAGCTAAAATTGTGCTTACTGTAGACCTGTTCAAGCCATACTGCCTAGCAACATCAGACATCTTGTTCCCACTTTCTACTTTGGCTATTATATCTCTTACTTGGTTTCTACAGTGAGCACAGTTCTTTACACTCCTCTTTTTAGGTTCCATAATATTATCACTTTCTTTTTTAAATAAAAAGCACTTACAAAAATTCAGAGAACAGAAATCAACTAACTCATAAAAAATTATTTAAATGCAAGGCCTGGATAAAATTTGAAATTTGGTATTAAAACGTTAACAAATATCCGATGGAACGGTTAAACTTTCACCTTTCGTAAATAAACCCTGACGCAAAACTTAACAATTGCCCGTCCGACAGTCTCATGAAGACTATAAAAAATTATCTATCAGAAAGGTAAACAAAAAGCTGGAATTACAAGGAAGAGTTTCAAAATTCGGAGGAATACTATCTGATCAGTATCGGGTTGAGCGTCAATGTTCACATCTCCCGCGTTCCAAAAGGTTTTGAATTGTTACCTGAAGACAACAGAAAATCAATTGGTATTCTTTATTTTCTGTCGCTTCTTTTTATGTTTGTTCAGTAAAGTGTTCATTATATGAACATGTGTTCGTTGTCCGATCATAAAAATCTTTCGTGAAAGTGTTTGTTATCTGATTTGTTTGCTATTTGAACTGTTCATTAACTGATCACCCACTGTATTAATATAAAATTTAAAACTAACCTGATAATCTGATTCTGTGCATATACGACAAGCAAGTACAGTTTGCCATAAAAAGTGAAAATTGCAACCATCACAGGTTCCATCTGGGCAGTTTGCTGGTAGTGAGAGATGACCACTGCCTTCTGCATTTTTATCACAGCGAAGTGTAAGTGTAGTTGTACGGCCTGAAGAACAAGCTGGAGTTGTGCTACAAAACATTTATAAAAAATATATATAAAATTAAAAAATTTATCTGTGACAAATAAACAACAAAATTAAATAAGAATCAATTAGAAAGAATAACCACTATATAACTTTCACATTACAGGTTTTTTTATAGTACAATTAAAATAATCTCCAAATCTATTTTCTCTTTCATAAATTTAGATCAATCATTACAAACATATATTAAATGTTTATGAAAAACATATGTATACTGTATATACCAGATTGTTCAATAAGTTTTGTCGTTCGATAATAAAAACACAATTTTATGGTTTGAAATACATTTTATTATTCAATATAATCTCCCTGAACTTCAATACACTTGTTCCAGTGATCTTCTAATTTATGGATTGTATCCCTGAAGTGAGAATCCCAAAGACTGTCGAATTACTCTTCCACGGCTGCTATTACCTCTTTGTTAGATGGAAATCATTTCCCACGCATGAATTTTTTGAAATTTGAGAACAGCCAGAAGTCAGAGGGAGCTAAATTTGGCAAATAGGGTGGATGTTGCAACAATCTGTACTTTAATTCACTGATTTTTGAAATGGTTTTTTGAGCTGTGTGAGAGGGTGCATTGTCTTGATAAAAAATGATTTTTTTTCGTCTGAAAACCAGATCTTTTCTCATAAATTTTTACATCTAGCTGGTCCAAAAGGTTACAATAATAATCTGAGTTTATTGTTTTACCAGTTTGGAGGTAATGCACGAACAAAATTCCTTTTGCATTCCAAAACACTGATGCTAACATCTTCTTGGCCAATTTTTGCATCCTAACTCACTTCAGAGCCAAAGTACCACTCCTTAGCCTCTTGTTCAGGTTCATGGTGGTAGACCCAAGTCTCATTCAGTGATGAAACGACGCACAAAATCTTTTTTATCCTTTCTAAAATGCTCCAAATGTTGCTGAGAAAGTTGCATTCGAATGTGTTTTTGTTCCATTGTTAGCAAATGCAGCACACATTGTGCACACAGCTTTCCGTAACCCAAAACTTCAGCCAAAATATTGCTCACACTGCCTAATGAGATCCCTAGGGCTTCTACTAAATCTCTCTTGGTTAATCAATGATCTTCCAAAACCATATGCTGTATTTTTGCTATGATTTCTGGTGTTCATGCACTTTTTGGAAATCCTTCACATGGATCGTCTTCAAGACTTGTATGACCACATTTAAATTCAGTAACCCATCTTTCTACTCTTCTAATTGAAGGTGAAGAGTTCTTATACACTTTTAACAATCATTCATGAATTTGTTTTGGTGCTACACCTTCCAAAATAATTTTATCACTGCATGATATTCAATTTTTTTCTATTGTATAAAAATACAGTGACACATCAACTTTGAACAGTTGTAAATATATGAATGAGTTGACAGATCTACATGAAACTTCACGTGTTCATAAAAAAGTAGTACCATTTTTAAAGAAATAAAGCCACAAACCTACTAGCACTATCTCTTATCAAACAACAAAACTTATTGAACAACCTAGTATTTTATTCCAAATAAAATTTCAAGAAAATTATTTAAAAACTTTTATAACTATTAATATATTCAGTCTTACAGCTATTCAGTTTTATTATTAATATATATTTTTATTAACAATAAAAAGACATTTATAACTTTCATATTTCTTTCCTTAATTTGTATTTAATTATTCATTACTCTAAATTACAAGATATATTTAATTGGTAAATGTTTTGCAATAAGAAAGATGGTTCTTGGTTGTCTAATGTAGGAGTCATAACAAACTACAGTGTAAATATGTTACTGCTAAAGCTCGAAAGCCATTAATGTGTACATTACCCAGCTAATCTCCAGATTAACTAGGGTGAGCAGTTAAAGTTTCGAAAATTGTTCCATTTCTCAAATTACCTAGTAATGTGCAGATGATCTAGGTAATCTGCACATTACCTACTAGGCACTCGGTAAACTGAAAATAAGACTTTTGCTGGAACAACAGCAACATTTTTGTATGCTTAGATTAATATAATGTTCAAATATACAAGCGCTAAGACGGCTTTTCTTTTTCACTAGACTTATTACACCATCAATGAAATGGATAACAAACTTTAGAAAGACTTTTTATAAAATAAAAAGTCTTTCTCGTATATTTGTACACAAGACTAGACAAGAAGCATATCGCATAATATAATGTTATTTAATTAATTTTTGATATCTAAAGAATCAAGTTAATGCAATCAAACAATCGACAAAGTAGTTGATAGAATCAATCATCAATCAATTGCACAGAAATTGATGAATCATCACAAAATTTTTGAATAAGTGAGTGAAATGAAGGGAGTGGCCCAAGGAAAGGAAATGAAGCATGGGAGACTTGACCTGAGGATGGAGCAAAGTGAGTGGGGTAGGAGGAGAGGATAAAAAGGAAAAAAGGAAAGTAAGTGGGAAGTTGAGGTTGATCTGAGGGGTTGGCCTCTTGCAAGAGTTGAATTGTCAAGAAATTTTTGTTATGAATAGTCTAAATGAGAACAAATGAGTGAAAGTAAATCATGTAACCATGAAATTGGAACACTTTTTATGGGACATTAATAAAAAAAAATCTCAGTGTTCAATTGGTTCAGAAAAAATAAAATTTTTTTTATGGAATCTGAAGATTGTTCTATATTCAATTTTGATGAAAAAAATCTGAAAGGAAAGTTTTTTTATGTGATTTGAATAAAAAGTGTCTTTTCCAATTAATTTGAGTATGGAGGTGCATTTCAAAATGGATCTGAACTTACTTTATATTACAGAAATCTCAATCAAAATAGATAGATAAAGAAATACACATTATTGAAATTTTTGCTATGATTAGTTTATATTGGGAACAAGTGGGCAAAAGTGAATGAGGAGTTGGACTGCTGTAGGTGAGCAGAGAGACAAATCCCCCTACTGAATTTATAATTAATGTAATACAGTTAATTAATTTTAATTACATTTAAAAATTTTTACTTTGAGAAATGATGTGAAACAATCAAGTGAAGGATTAATAACTGAAATTAGTTAGTGAAAATATTTTCTGAGCAATAATATATTAGTGTGTCATGTATAGTGTTGCCACCAGGCCAGTTTTCACCTGGACAAACCGGTTTTTAAATTCATGATCTGGATTAATTATTAATTTGTCTGGTTTTCATAAAAATTCTGAAATTATGATGAAACAAAATAAATTTATAAAAATATTTGCAAGTATTTTATTTTAATGGCTAAAGACTTTAACTTTACACCCCCACCCAAACTTATCTCTAGGCTAAGACTGACAGAAAATGTACTTTTAAAATTCTAAGTTGCAAACATCTCTGGCAAATATTAGGTTTATTCTAACACAAGTCCCTAACTGGTTTAAAACTGACATATGCATTGTTCAGTTCTTGACTGTAAAATGACATTGTGCATGCCTCATATGGTTTCAAATTCAAACCAGTCAGGAACTTGAGTTGGAACAAACCTAGTAAGTGAATGTGGCAGTTTCAGTTTACATGTATTATGTATTATTTTTGCAATTAATATTGACATCAGACTGTTATTAATTATTTTTGGATATGCCACATGTGGCATATCCAAAATAGTATATCATAGTATATTTAATACATTTTAATAGTATATCATGTACATGTTTACCTTCTAATAAAAAAATATTTGTTTTCTACTCACAATAAATAAACCTTGTTTTTTTTTTATTTCTAAGTATAACATCCTAATTTTAAAATGTCTGGGTCAGCAATTTTGAAAAGGTGGCAACACTAGTCATGTATGTTATTGTTTTTCTATCTTTAATTAAAAAATGAAGAATATTAGTTAACAAAATTTAAATCATACCTAGAAGAACTGTAGAAGAAATGAACATCTGAATTTCCCTTTGCAGCTAAGAAAATAAAAAGTATAAAGTAATGTTTTAATTATAAAGGATAAAAATNCCTCAGAAAATACTGTACTGTACTTGTATGTATTGTTTGCTTGAGAATACAACAGAAAATAAACTGCCCAAATACCCTTAAACAAAGGAAAAGTACGAACTTTATGAAGGCATAGAGCCTTTACTAAGTGAAAATGAAAATTAATGAATACACTGTGTACAGTAATTTATCTGATAAGACAGATCTCAGAAAAATACTTTATGAAGCATAAAGCTGTCTGTAATGAAAATTAATTAACTAAGGATTTTTTTGCCCTGCCAGGGTGTGGCCGAGTTATCCGGATTGCCGGGTTATTGAGTGCCGAGTTTTCGGGACTCTACTGTATTAATAAATTTTTAAGTAATTCAATAGATCAATCTCCTTCCTAATTAGCAATTCTGTTAGCAATTCTTAACACTTGTAATGCCAAATTTGTTACTTTTTTATCACATCAATTTATGCTGTTCTGTATTCCTTCTTTCAACATTTTTTACTAATTGTTATGGTATGTTAAACTAACTCTCTTACTGCTTTGTTTTATTTGTTGGTTTTTGTTCTAAAATACTTGGAAAAAGCCTACTTGGCCACAGTGTCTTTTTGAAAAAATAAATAAATAAATAAAAATAAATGCTAACTTTCTGTTCATGATCACTATTTTTATATCATCAATGAGCACTTATAATTCAGATATCTCTATATCAGTCTATCCTAATTCAGACTTTATCTGGATCAGGATAAACTGATTTCCTAAATTGTTTCTGAAAAGTAAATTTTAAAATATCTCATTTTCATCAGAATTCATAAATGCCATTCATATATTACAAACTAAAAATAAACTAATTTGTACAATCTCAATTTCTTATACAGGGACTCATGTGCCATTGCCACTTTTCTGTAGTCTAAACTATTTTAGATTTTATTTAATAGAATCAGTGATTTCTGCCATTGTCACTATGTAAAGTAACTTTTTGTTACTGTCTATTTTTAAAATTTTATGTTTTGAAGAACTATAACTTTGCTTAACCATAAAACAAAACTCATAAAAGCTAGAAGTTTCCTGAAAATATAACCATTCATTTTTCAAAATTGAATAAACTTTTAAAGCTAAAATTTAAAAATAAGATAGCAATTCATTTAATAATACTGATATATTAAATTTATTTAAGAAATTTGGTAACTTTTAAAGCATATTGGAATAATTAAAGTATAAAAATAAACAATTTATAAATTAATAAATTAAAAAAAATATA